GTCCCGGCTTTGTAGGGATGCGAGGTCAATGGTCAAACGACTACGGCATGCACGACTATGAGTACACCCCCCCCCCCCCCTACCTCTAAGGTGTTCAAATGTTGGTAGCGTCGTCTCTTCTCAGAGGCATACAACGGTTCCAGGTGGTGGCGGAAGATATTTCACATTACGTTGATGAATGTATGGGCTGGAAACGCAGGACTAGAATAGGACGATCCACAAAAGAACTTGTTCGAACAGTTTGTAAGTCTACTCTCGTTGTGTTAAGAACAAAAGGGTCGTTGCCAATCATGAGACCCGCACGGTATCCGTGACTTCTTGCGAGCAGTTTCACATGCGCATATCTTGCGGAAGCCGGCGGTACGTGGCTGAGTATCGGTTCTCATCACAGATTGGAGCTATTATAAATCGGTAAGCCGTAGTATGCATATATCAGTCCAACGACCCATCCCCATTCTCATCGGCAGGTCCTTTCCAAGGTTTCCCAGAGCCGCGAGGCGCTCGTGAAGAGGGGAGATGAGCTGGAAGACTTGATGTCCCACGCTGATCTGGCCGAGAAGGCCATCGCGGAAGAGATCAGACAAGAGGAGCAACGCGCCAGCGTGCGGTGCGTGTGTACACCGACGTGGAATTTTTTGTGCGGATTTGTATGTGTGCGCCTTTGCTGTTGACAGCCGTAACCGGCTGACCACGAACAGACGTCAGTCGCCGTGCGTGTCCGTCTCGGCTTTTTTTTAAGGCATCACACACGCTAACCGGCTGGCCAATGAACAGATGCCAGTCGCCGTGCGTGTGTGTTGTTGTTGTTTTAGCGTCAACCCCGCAAACACTAACCGGCTGGCCAATGAACAGACAATAGTCTCAGTGAGTGTGCGTCTTGTTTATTTTAGTTGGCATCACCCACGCAAACCGGCTGGCCAATGAGAGTAGCGTCAGTCTCAGTGCGGCCCAACGAAATGGAAGTCTCTTCTAAATGACTGGAACGCTGCTCTTGGGCTTCGGTTGCAGATCTGTCTTGTGTTTCTTCGTCGCGAGCTCAGCAGACCTTGCCTGCCGCACATACCCCGGTCCTACCAGATGCTGCTGCTGCTCCTGCAGCCTCGTTGATCAAGATCGCATGGCGTCACCCAGTAGCCATTGCTTTAACTACGGTTCTCTCATGTAAAGCACACGATTCAGACTTGCGACAATCTACACGCATCTACGGCGGTGCCGGTGCTTTCGATTGTCTACCAACGTCGACATCATAGCCGAGCGCATGCATAGGCCAATTCACTGGTTACATGATTCCGCGTGTCCCCCTTTTCCCGTCCCAGGAGCCAAATCGCCAAGACCGCTGAGAGGACCAAGGAAGTGCAGGCCGACGTGTGCGGGCTCGAAGAGGAGTTGGCCGCCCTTGAGCTGCGGCAGCAGGTACGATGACGGGGAAATTCAGGGGGAACAAATCTCGATGTACTTGCTTCCTGTTTTTCTCGACGGGTTTTGTTAACAGTTTTCAAGATAGATTTTCTGGGAAGAAACTCGAACCCGATCAGTTTTCGTTTCCGATGGTGAATCTCAGAGTTTCTCCATTACCTCGTTTGTCACAAGGTGTGCAAGCAATGCCTAGGGCGCGGGGGCGACTAAAGTTTTTGTTGGGGCAGAAATCCCCCTTCGCCCCCATCTGTTGTTCAGCTCCGGGGTTTATTTCTTCGCGACATCAACTGTTTGCCCCCCCCCCCCCCCTGGGCTACAGCAAAAAAATCTACGTCATTATTGCCGACAATTGCCCGTTATCGCCGGGCGGCAGTTACATCCCGAGATAGATATTCTTGATTTGGTGTGCGGGATGTTTTCGAACGACCTTGCCAACTCAGGCGTAAGCCCTCCTCTTCCTTCGTTGTTTCGATCGCCCCCAAAGCCCTGGGTTCGATCGTTTGCTACTTTGGTAGTTAAATAGCGACCTGTCCTCCTCCATGTGCGTGTGGAAGGGTGTACTCGTGTCTTGCATGCCTTGCAGTAGCGGGTAGACCACTAACCGCGTGCTCAAGAAGGTAGATGCGTGTATGTGTGTTTGTGTTTGTGTGTGTATGGCATCAACGCGGTCGTTGCTTCTCTTTCATGCGATCGCTTTGTCGGCGTGACGACGGTCGTTGCGCTGCTGTCCGCCCGCAGGCGGTTGCGGCGAAGAAGGCCGCTCTGCTAGAGGGCAAGGCGAGGAGGGAGGAGAGGGCCAAGGCCGCCGCTAAGCGCTCGGCTTCCGTGGTGCGCCTCATGGAGCTTGAGGCGAAGAGCATCGGGTTCGAGAAGGAGGCCTTGGTGAGTGCCGCTGTACGGATAAATTAGTCCGTCTCGCGCACTCGGTGCTCTTAAGGATTTGTTGCTGCGGGAAGCTACATAGGGCCGCGTCTGCTTCGTTGAGGTGCTGTTGTCGTTGATGGTGGTGTGGTGTGGCTTAAGACGGTCGTGTCCAACACCTTCTCTCTCTCTTTTTCTTTTATCTCTTGTAAGCTCTTCGAAAATGTGGTGAGACCTTTGGCGGCTGCAGTGTTGTTTTTCTAGCGGCCTGCGCGCTTGCGGTAAAATTTTCTTTGTCTCGCTTCCGTAGCATCGACAGCTTGCGAGTGGTGCAGGAGAAGGTCGAGGGCCGTTAAGGTATTATGCCATTCGTTTGTTTTTTCGCCCCTGCTGCCGAGTGTTCGCAGCTTTTGTCGCGAACAAGGCCTGCCCTTCTTATGGACCCTATCCCTCCCTGCGCATTTTGGACAGCCGAAGCGCTAATTGGTCCACGGCTCCCCATTGTTCATGCCCACAGTAACCTGGTTTATTTTTTTGTTTGTGGGGCCGTTGTTGCCGTTGTTTTCGGTCTGCTTATGCCTCGATCGCGTCTTCGCCGTGCGTGCGGTTATTCGCATCCGTTGCTGCTGCGTGCTTCATTTTGGTTTCCTCTGGCTGCACATGTAGGAGATGAAGGAGAAACTGGACGTTCAGCTGGGGCTGCGGCTGTGGTGTCAACCAATCACCTTGCTTCCAGACAAAGTCATGGTTGCGTTCGCTGCCCCACACGACTGGGCGCTCAAGCACCAGGTACGCAGAGGTGTTCGAGGGTGAGGGGAGGGTGGGTCTTTCTTCCCAGCGATGTGCGGATAGATCTCTTCATGTTTCCAGGGTGTTATTAGGGTGTTCCGTGAGGCTGATTGGTTGACCCCGCCTATCTAGAGCAACCACACGCTTGGCTTCGTTGGCCTCGGCAGTGAAAAGCGAGTCGATATGGTTGGTAGCGGGTGAAGGGCAACCGGCCTATTTTTGCGTTCTGCTATGGGTTACAACTACGCTCTGTGCCATGATTTGCTTGCTGATGTCATTCTGTCTTTACCCTACATACCTACGCGAGAGCGTGTCTAGCTTTCGCCGACATGGGGGGAATGAAATTGCTCACACGTGGTCGGTGCTCTTGCTTCGCCTGCAGCAACGGGGGCTAGTTTTTCCATGGGGGTAGTTTGGCGTTTTCGGTGTCCCGCGACGTATGGCACATCATATCCACTCGGGTGTAGGTGGGGGTGAATATGCCGTTTCCTCTTTTCTCAGGTAGTTCTGTGCTTGGGGAATGTTTAGTTGGGGCACGCACGGGGGCTCACCTCGCAGTTTCATTTGAACTATGAGGTTTTTTCAATCGAATGTTTCCTATTGTCTGATGGTACTTATTTCCTGCGGCTGTGATTTCTGTTTTTCGTTTCATGCGCAGCTCAAGTTTGTCGTGGATGAGACTTCTGCGGCATCCGGTACGTGTACCATGGTCCGGGGCCCCAAGCCCGAGAAGAGGGGGGTGCTCTCAAAGAAGGGGGGAATGGCCACTGTGGGCGACATGGTGAGTACGCGCCGCCCCGTTGCAACGAGTTACAGCAGTGTTTGGCTTCGTTGACTCGTTGACGCTGGAGCTGCTGCTACGACCCTTGATTCGGTTGGTTGATTGATCACATTCACGTGTAGCATGGAGTGACTGGTGGCAGGCTGAGCGCGACTGAGTGCTCGTTGATGGGTCGGTCGCTACCATATCTGCGACTACGTTTCTCGACCACACACACACCGCTGAACGGCTGCCGTCCCGGCACCCCGATACTGTACGTCGATACTAGCGCTGGCTCGCCTGTTGATTGATGGTGACGCTACCTTGGGTGATGGTAAGGCTCACTGCGAGGGCTTCGACAAGACCACGACTGTGTACAACCCTCTGCTTGCGCACTCTAAAACGTGGGATTTCTCTACACGACGTACTGCGATCACACTCACTGCTGGTTATTCACAATAATTACTCGACTCGCCACCACCTGTGACCCCCAAGACTTTCAGGTCATGGTCTTGTCGGAACCCATTCGACATCATCCACTACCTATCCCTCCCTCAACGAACATTCATTCCATGAAATGAAGCACTCGTTTCTGTGTGCAGCCTAATGCACCCTGCCTGCCGGACGTAAGACATTGTTTGTTTGGCGGATGCCCAATCAACCCACACGAATTGGAATAGCAAACACAAGAGTGATGATCAGCTGCTGGTACATCCTTGTCCTAGCCTGGACCGGCGAAAACCCGGCATGCTGCGATCCGTCCCCCGGCATTGCAGGGACGCGAGGTGTGTGGTGTAACGATATTGGCATGGGATTAATGATTAGCCCCCCAACATTCCCCCGTCCCCGGGTGCAGAACTCCGCCTCCGGTAGACTGAGCCGCCTGATTTTCGAGGGCGAGGGCGGGATTTTCGGCGGCGCCGAGGGTATGGCCGTTGCCGGCTTGGCGTGGGTCAAGACCGTCGCCGACATGAGGACGGAGGTGCAAAACGCGGAGTGGTTCGTCAGCCGCGCCTACTCTCTCCTCCAAGAGGTAAATAGCCAGATGTTCTTGCGTGGCAGAAAATGGCATGGGCGGCGTTGTGCTGCTGGCTTCACATATTTAAGCCGTTCCGAAGCCTTTGACATGAGGTCTGACGTACTGATCCAACTGACGCGAACGCCTGCAAGGTGGAATGGCTGACGTCCCCGAGAGGATGCAAACTTGAACAAACCACAACGGTGGAACCAGAAAGGCCCAGAAGTATCAGATCAAACCAGACAATACATGGGTAGACCCGTCCTCCGGAGAGTCCGACGTCGTTGGCGTGGTTACGTTTAGTACCCGTTGGAAAGATGCTGGGCCCCTCTTCTGCATTCATCCTATATTGGTAGTTTATTAGACCACGAACTGTAGGTCGCGATGTCTCGGCTACTTTCTAAAGGCGTCCATGGAACCCATGGCAGTTGGTTAGAGCATGTCGGCGTTCGGCTCGTTCGGCGTCAGTCCGGGTGACTTGTATTTCCTGGGACATGATCCACTCGTCGAGTAGCGTGTCCAAGTTGTGACTGCTGTGCCGGTGGCACAGACTTTAGTGGATTGTGCGTACTCCAGACGACTTCTGGTTTTGGACTGTTTTGCTTGGCATGCGCGTCCTACGCTGCTGCAATTCTATTGGTCTTGCGGCAGTGCTGTTGTTGCGGTGCATTTTTTGTGCTGCTGATCGTCTCCCAAACATGATGTTTGAACTAATGGCTACGGTTGTTGTCATTCGTTGCCTTTAGGTTCACGATCTGGAGAAGAAGTACGCCTGCACGGTGACAGTGGTCGAGAACGATGGCGCCAGCGCCGCTGTGGCGGTGCTGTGTGTGGAGGTGGCCAACTGGCGCTCCAAGCAGAAGCTCGTGCGCCTGCGCTTCGGCTTGTCGACTTCGTTCGCGTGCTTAGTGGGGGCTCCGCTGGTGGAGGTAAGAATTGTGGTTAACCTTCTCATTCTCATCTCGGTACGGAGCACATCGTTGGATTCGCAAACCTGCCTCGTTTCACGATATTTTTGAAGTTTTCGAAGAGTCGCATGATCGATGAGCTACGCAAGGAGGATGCCCTGGTGGTCTACGGCATGTGCTGTGTTGGTCCCTTTCTTTTGAACACCCCGAAGTGTTATTAATGCTGCCTTTCGAGAAACAAGGCGTGTAGCTGGGATCCATGCCCGATGTAGCAGCTTGAAATGTGAATTCACATTTGAATAGTACGAGGATGAAAAATTCCATGAACAATCGTTTATGGTGCTGATGAATATCGCTTCTTTCGGTCCATCTCGTCTTGACGCCAGCCTGCACCTTATGGCACATGCTTTGCGCACCAGTCCGGTCACATTTGAATAGTACGAGGATGAAAAAATCCATGAACAATCGTTTATGGTGCTGATGAATATCGCTTCTTTCGGTCCATCTCGTCTTGACGCCAGCCTGCACCTTATGGCACATGCTTTGCGCACCAGTCCGGTCACACAGGAGGGTAGTAGCACGGTAGTCTATTTTGTTCTGCCTTCCACCATTCCCCCTGCGTGTCTTGCAGTCAACTTCAACGCGAGATGGGTTCAGTGAGGTTGCTTCCCCCCCCCCTCCCCCTTTTGTGTCTTGCTCCCTACTAGACTATGGCAGTGTCACTTTAATATATATATTTTTTCGAGTTATTCACTCCGGAGAGAATCATAACCGTAGTCCTGGAACCACAGGACTGAATGACGAGCTGGGATGATAGAAATGTGGCCACGTCAACTTTGCATATGGCCTGTCGGTACGATGGACTGCGTATGCATACGACCTATGCCTATGGTGGGTGACAAATAATCTACACCGCACCTCCTGGCCAGTGCTCCTGGCCATCGAGAACTGATCAACCACCCCCCGTCATGCCCGATTCCCTCCTCGGAACGATCAATAGGTGGACATCGGCAGCCTGGAAGTGAGCGTCGTTGACGAAGCCATCCGCAAAGCAGGGGGAGACCGAGCGGGTCTCATGTCCATCACAAAGGGAGTCGAGGCCGCGGCCGCTTGCATGTAGGCCGGACTACAGTAGCTGCCAGTAGTGTGTGTTGCCGTGGGGGCATTAGCCGTCACGACAACAGCGATCTCGTTTGTCCTGTGAGAATGAAGTTGGCCGCTGCCGGGGGGCGTGGTTCCTGTCATCTGTAGCTATACTACGATGCGTTGGCCATGCTGTTTTTTTTTAAGGGGGGGCGAGAGACAGAAGATGCCCGTCCTGATGTGGTATCGCACACGGCGCGGTATGATATTTTCAGCATCGTTAGCGTCATTGTTCGGGTGAGGGGGGGTACTGATCAAAGGGTATTCTTGCTTTCTGTCTTGGTTCAGCGTTTTTTTCTGGCACTTGGATTTTTGAGGAAAAAGGGGGGGGGGGGGGGGGTACCACGCGAGTGTGCACGTGTAATATATTACAAGTAGGGGGGGTTGGAGGTTGCTCTACCCGGCATTTGATGGCATGGAATGAGGTCCGACAGGTGCGGTTATTATCGCACTGGCCGTTTTTTCTCTACCACCATGTGTCTATCTGTGTAACTCTTTGTCGCGGTATTTTAGGAATTGTCGCCTTCGAAATCCGTCTAGGGTGAATGAAGTGACCACGATGCGCGCTGCCAGAAAAAGAACGAAGGCATTGAATCCGGTGGGACGCTGACAGTGGGATGGCAGCATCGATGTACCCACGGTGCAGTTGGACTGTGCCGATGACGTACAATGTAGGAACGCGTTCTGGTTTCGTCCCCTGTAGTTTAAGTTTAGTCTGGGCGCCAGTCTGCACCGTTCGGCATTGTTTGACGCAACAGCCAGGGGTACGCGGGGTTTTTGATTTTGGTGCGTCTGCGTTTATTGTTTTTTCTCCTCCAGGTCGCATAGGGCGGAAGGCAAAGCTCGAATCTCGTGAATCAGGAATGGGTCTGTTTGTTACGGGGGGAGGGGGGGCGGCTAGCCCGGGTTGTAAGTTTGTTCTTAGCGTCTAGGTATGCGATTTTTTCGTTGTTGAATTTTTCGTACGCCGGATATGAACCCTTGCGTCGAAATGTCTTCGTGTCTGCATTGGTTTGTCGATGGATAGATTTAGCACACTGGGATGTATCAAGTTCAGATTAATAGTTGTCAGCAAAGGAAGGGAGTGGGTATGGTTGACTTGGTGTTGCTCGGAAGGTGTTCCGAAAGTATCGATGAACACAGGCGAGAGGTGGGGCCTGCTGGGTCGGAAATGTTGCACCCCGTGTACTCAAAATGATCGACGCTGCTTAGTGCGTAGAGGGAGAGAAGGGAGTGTGGCCCATGCGACTCGCAAGAGATAGTGGAGGGGCGGGAATTACTTTGAGCAAGAGACCGTGCACGCCGGGTTGCAGAATCACCTACTGCAGAAGCTGACACAGGTAGAAACAGCGCTCCTATTCAAGTGCAAGTTGTGTAGTGTGTGGTGACGCTGATTCAATGCATGTCTCTATACGGACGCGAGGATATGGATGGACACATGGACACGTATTGCGCCCCCGAACGGCGGACTCTTGTGTAGATTAGTTTACGTCGAAGATCGCACGCGGTTTCATGGGGTTGTCGTACCCGTCAATGAATATTTCGTTAATCCCGTCAACAATGTACTGCATGGACAAAGCGCGATCGCCTGTCGCGTTGCTGCTGCTGTGACATATTGCTGCAGACTTTTCTTTCGGTATGTATGTTGGTCCCAAGAACAACATTTGGCGTCCTGCATGGCCTGCTTGTTTTTCTTGGTCTCCCGAAGGAAAAGTGTAGAATGCAGGTGTACTATGTACGCGTTGGTTTTGAAGGTGTCCCGTGGAAAGATCCTACAGTACAGCAATCAAATGCGCCAAGGTAGGGTATCTCTGGCCTTTACGAACCGGACATGGCACGACCGTTAGGCCGAGGTACTAATGCGCGATTCTAGCAAGAGTGGGACATGGAGAGACCGGCAGATCAGCTGTACGTCTCACTCTTGCCCTCTGGCGTGTCTCCCTCCCCCCTCCTCCTAACAACTGCTGCTGTGTGTGTTTTTACTATTACTGTAGCATCGACCCCGCTAACCGGTTGACCAATGAAAAGACGTCAGTCTCAGTGCGGTTGAAAACACAAAACACTCTTTGTGCGTTTGTCTCGCCAACAAAAATCACGCCTGCCGTTTTTTTTGGGCGGGGACGCTTGGTTTCCTGATGTAATTCCAAGTTCGGCGCAGATACCTTCCTAACTCGATCCACTGAGCACGGATTGAGCTGGAAGCAGTTTGGACAGCTCGTTGCAGCTCGGGCAAATTTTCTTGTTGTGCACAAGTCTTACATATTTGGTGCCTTGCCGGTGAAATCATGGTGAAATGGGCTCCAATCTCCTGTGCATTTATCGCCGCACGGACGGACACCAGACACACTCGCTGAAAATTTGTTCTTCATTCACGTGTGTACGCATGTACAACTAGCATTCACTTTTCTTGCTATTATTATATAGAGCCCCCATATTGGCGCACCTAAAAAAATCTATTATTGCAACACGTTCTCGTCGGGGAGGTAGAACCGATTCATAAAGTGTACCGCGGTATCTCTCTATATGGGTGGATGGATATGTTTTCTGGCCGTTGTTTGTTGGAATATGTTATTCTGCAGCACACAGCATACGCACATGAAAAAATGGCTAACGTGAAAATTAAATGGCACTTTCGCTGGGATTGAACCCAGGACTCTGATTTTAGGAGGTTTGTAAGCTACGGTTGATGTGTCGAAATGATGTACACCAGCATTTGACACACATTGGCAGCAACCACACCTACCTGTGGAGCAGCATTTGCTTGAGGACTTGGTAGACAAGGATAAATGCTGAACTGTGCGAGTGTTTCTTTGCCGCCTACGGCTGTTAAGACGACGGGGAAGCAAACCGCGTGTAGCTACCCTTTAGAAGCTCTAAATTTTCGTGACAAGCAATCCCTGCTTCGTGGGACGTCTTCGGTTTGAACTGTCCGGCAATCGGGTTTCGCAGTTGCTCAAGCTCCATGAGCAGTTGTAAAGATTTGTCGGCCGAATGTGTGTGTTCCACGGGCGGGTGATCCGACCGGAAATGCTTGCATCCTTTTTGCCTCCTTCATACCGCTCAGGACTCGCCAACCGCAGGGTTATCACGACATTCTATGCTGACAGAGCACGCGGGACGGCACAAACCAGGGCGGAAATCTGTATCCTCTCCCTCCTGAGGCCTCCCGTTCGACGATCCACAACGTGCTTGACGCCACCTAGGCCTTCCAACAGGACTATCGGGTTCGACCGGTTGGTCTCATGCCACAAGAGGTACACTACATCATCACTACAACATCCTCTATGTTTCTCGAACTCCGTGACCAACTCCACGCAAGAACTGCCGGAAATGCAGCCAACCATGTCTAACCATCCTGCACCCAAAATGACTCAATTTCAGGATTGGCGGGTCAATCAACCGTTCTAAATTGTCCAGTTACAACGTTGTCGGCCACCAAGCGACAGATGAGGGGCTGTGGGCACCGGGTAACATGGCCGAACGTTCGGTGCACCTCCAATATCTGCCTCAACAGCATCCCAAGGCGTTTGACCAAGAAATCTGAGCTCCGGGTGTCGTTGTTCACACTCTCTTCACGGTCATGGTGGCGATCGCTCGCACAGTTGCCAGCACACTGGCACACACGAGAAACGATGTTCAGGGTTTTTTGCACTCTCCGGTTTGAGGGCTTCGGCATGCTTTGTGAGGACGAATCATCTTCAATAATCGGGACGGTTCAGGTTGGATAAACTAAGAGAAGCATATCGGATATCGGCGCGCTGGTGGACAACAGAGGTGAAACAACCGGCAGTGCACCGGAGGATCAACGCCTTGGTTTCGGAGGCTGAGAGACTCCGCATGGCTACAAGGCACCACCTCGTCAGTTGAGACCTGCAGTGAGTTCAGCTCTGTCTTCGCAAAGACAAACTGGCCACAAACTATGTACAATATCGCCAGAGTCAAGCAAACGGAATCCCGAAATGTTGCGGCTGCAAGAATACTGGAATGCCCCCTGCCGTGTTTCAGACTTCGTGAAGCTACGGGTAGCAGAGTACAACGGAGACAGACCCGGATGCTGTGGAAGGGTTGTATGCTTTCCTTTTCCTTGGGTCGAACACAGCAGGGCAGGTGAATATGCTACCGTCGGAGCTGTAGCTACAACGGGCACGGAGGCGCACGCGTTACCCTTGAAAATCAAGGAGATTACAACGCTGCTCCAACGCTAAACTACCCTACATGTTTTTGTTGCCCTGCACTCCGTACGGCCTTTCGTTCGAGAGTGGTACTGATGTAAGAACCACCTTCCGTTTCGCAATGACATTGGAGATATCGCTCTCGTCAGTAACACATACAGTGCAGCATGTAGTGCATTTTTGGCGCAGCGAGGTCTGTGTTTCGTGAGCACCCTTCGTAACGTGCACTGGTACTCCTGTGGGTGTCACCGCGCTAACGACCGGGCGCGGCGTAATTTAATCGCCCCGAACCGAAATGTTGGCGGGTTCGATGGTGCACCCCCCTGTTCTCCTTCCCCGGGCCCCCTTATTTGTGTGTGTGTGTGTGTTATGCGTCATGCGTCACATGGCGGCGGTCGGAAAAGAGCCTCACCAGCAGCAGGCAGCAGCACAGCAGCTGAGGTGTGTGCGGTCGACAACTAAAGAAACATAAGACAAGGCCGGATCCCCCGGCCAAGCGCGCTTGGTCAGTTTCTACCCCCAAGGTCTTCTCTCTGAACGTGCTGTAGCTCATCAATCCGTTGGGTGTGTTTTTTGAGAATTCGCGACTTGGAGGAGGACGGCCGAAGCTCGCGACTCGGGAGAAGCAGCATCAGCAGTGAGTCAGTCGGCCATGCTTATCCCGGAACAGGGAGCCCCGGAGAAGGTTCTTCTGGCCGGCGTCGAGGCCCTCACGTTCACTCGTGGGCGCCTGACAACGAGGTGGGCAATTGGGTGTGTGATTGGGGTTGCGGATGTAGCCTGGTGACTGCTGTTTTGATGCCGCACCCAAGGTACAGAACCAGAGGAGGCTTGAGCGTCTCGGTGCGCTCTGTGACGCTGCGGTCCGCGAGGTAAATGCAGGTTTTACCAAATGCATAGGTGCGTCTTCCTGCATTGCTGCTGCCATAATTGCCAAACAGCAGTCGCATGGGTTGAGGATTGGGGATCTGACTTTTTTCTGCCGGTTTTCGGCGAAATGATTGCCCGATCTGCCACGATTGAAGTACATTTACGTACACATCCCCGACAGGTTGGGGGGCAATCTAGTAGCCTACGACACGACTTCAAGGCTTTACTCCCTGCTCCTTTTGTCGATGTGTTTTTTTCGAGGCTACGACCAATTGCTACGTACGACTGCTTTTCTGTCTTTCTGCGGAACAATACTGTTGCGGCGTGCATGGAGCCGTCGCCCAACTTTTTTTCCTCTCATGCCTATTGTACACACAGCAGAGAGAGTAAGCGTTGTCCTCTCTACAATAGTCTAGACTACTAGACGCCCTTGGAGATGTTCTCGATGATTTGTCATGGCTTACGTTCTGGCATTAGTTTCTACTCGCCTGCCAACAAAATGTCTACTTTTCTACCGAAAACTAAAACGCGATTCGAGATTGCGTGGAGGACACAAAACCATACCCTCACCGTCCAGGGTACGCCTTTCGAATTCTCCCCACTATTTTCCCAAAGACAATGATGAACTCAGCCAACCCGAAACTAAGATAGCCTCCAGTACCTGACCCCCGCGCCATTTAGCAGGCTGAGAAACTCATCTCCTAATTTTTCTCGTCTCTTACATCTCTGCGAGGGCCTTTGTATGAGACCGCTTGCGCACGCTCTCCCGCTTCCCTCACATCAACCATGAATGCTCTGGACTTCCCACCGACCAGCACGCTGGATCTGCAACTCTGATGCTCCCTGCACTGCTAACTGCGTTGCTCCTCCGATTCGTCCCGAATGTAGCACGAATTTGCTCAGAGTTCTTACCCGTGCCAGCTACCATCATTCGCAAGGCGACTGCCGCTTCTCCTCGAGTAATCACTCTCCACCCGGACACCATAAGTCTCGTCATCAGCGCCGAGTTTTCGGGAAGTCGCGGATTGGCGTCGAGGATGCCTCGAACGCCCCGATGGGCACCCCCCCCGTCTCCACTCTCCTTTTTCCCGCGCACCCGCGGGATCGTGCAACCTCTGCGCGTCTGGTCCGCTTTGGACGCCCGAAAAAGAATCTGGAAAGGGTCCGCCCTCGCTCTGCCTTGACGCTGACCTGGACATGTCCGCTGAAGACGGTTAGGCAGTCACGCGTCAAACAAAACTCTGGGTGTACCAGTCCGTTCGCGTACGAGAATAGCTCTGGCGCTCGACATAGCAAGAAGTATGATAGCGCCAGACCTAGCCACATCACAAGTCCTCCCCCGCTGAAACTCGTGTGCGGTAACCGTGAGCCAAGATCGACCACGCAAGTGGTAACCTGACTTGGCGCCCTTGTTTCTGATGTACCTCGAATCCTGTCTATCCTTTTTCCTGCTGCCGCGAGCATACAGTGGGACGTTGGCGGCTCCCAACCTAGGTGAAGCTTGTGGTAGAACATAATAGCGGCCAAATAGGTAGCCTCTAACGGTGGACTGGTGTTGATTGTTGAAAGAAAACAGTCGGCAGGCGATGAATTCGAGCAAAAGACCGAGCACGTCTGACTCGTCCAGAGCCCGAACTGTCAGAATCTTCTTCCGTTCCCGCCGCGCCCCGCGTTCGCGCCGCCTCCTCCTTCCCTGCCGCCCCCTGCCGCCCCCTGCTGCTGCTGGGGGCGGGGGTTGCTGTGGGGGCTGCTGCTGCTGCTGCTGGGGTTGCTGCTGCTGCTGCTGGGTCTGGTGGGGGGCGGTGGCGGCCGTGGCGGCACCATACGGGTAGGTACTGCCGTTGACATGCGCGTAGGAACAATCCGTGCGCCGGCATGGGTCACCATACCAGGTCGCTCTGCACGCCCATACGGGAGCCGCTCCCACCGCCATGATCTTGCTCTTCGTCTTCGACGCCGGCGTCTTTGCTGGGGCCCCCGCGGCTTTCCGCTTGAGGTTGCCGCCTGCGGCCGTGGAGGTTTTCCAGCTGCCGGCCCGCTCGGCGAGGCTGGACATGTCGTCGCGCTCGATAAGCTTCTTCAGGCGCCGGAACTTGGGGATCTGCATGACGCCCCCCGTCGTGCCCGGCGGCGGCGCACCGTCCGGGTATGCGCCTTGGACCTCGCCCGCTTGCCGCACTAGTGTGTGAAACCCTTCGTTCATGCCGTCCTTGATGGCGCCACGAGCAGATTGCCTTGCAGCGGCGCCAGGTGTAAAAAGATCTTGGACTATGCATATTGGGCCGCTGCCGCGCATGTAGAAGATGACTGAAAGTCCTACACATTTCCAGTGCACAACTGTGTGGTTCGAGAACGGGTACATGAACACGTTTTTTTTTTTAACACGGCATCGATTGGCAACCAGGATCAACACGGATGGCCACCAGCGAGAACGTGGTTGATTTGCACGTTTCGCGCAAAACAAAATGACGTTCGACGGTTAGGCACAGAGTTGGTACTACCGTGCCGACGTTGCGGGAGAGCAGCAAATGCATCAGCAGCCTCGACCACCATGTATGTAGAAGGGATCCGTTCTGCCTGTGCCTGTTGGCCGGGAACTTCCAGGCAGCCAGCGACATATCTGGAATCAGCGCGAGTGTCCCCCCCCAGAAAGAGGAATTAATACCACCAGCTCGCAATATCGGCCGCCGTCCTCGACCTTTGCCGCTCTGGAACATCGGAGAACTCGGAGTTCCTCACAGGCTATTGTTACTTGTAAGGAAGGACGCCCCGAGCGTTCCCCGCCAAGGGTATGTGGCAATTTACTTTCATTCGCCGTCGGCACAGCAGTTACCACTGTCGAAAATATATCGAGAAAAATGTTTGCTCAAATTGCGATATATCTTTTGTCGATGTTCAAATCGACCTTCAACTTTGGCGTTTTTTTGTTGTTCGTTTTTTGTGTTTTTGTTCAGCCGGCGGACCAGACCAATCGCTCAGCTGATCTGCGACGGAGGCGGCGGGAGCGCGGGGTGCCCGAAAGACCCCCGCTGGCAGTTCCAGACCGCCTTGTGCAAGAATCAAGGGGTAAGCAAGAATAACATGTATGAGTTACCCGAGGCATCAGTATGCATGTGTTGCAGCGAGACTTTGCCGCAGGCTGGCCTCCTGGTAGCTTGGGGGGGGCAGGGCGCTGTGGAGCCCGCTGCAGTAGCCTTTGTGCGACGCGTTTCGCTAGTCACCAGAGAAACGAGATTTGCTTTCCCCAGTTGTTGGCTGCTGTGTACACCGAGAAGAAACGCAAGGCTGGTGCCACAAGATGTTAGAACTGCGCGTTTGACGATTGACGCAATTTCACGTGTGCAAGCATCTTGGGGGATATCTCTCAGCGCGCTGGCTGCTTTCCGTCGCAAAAATCTCACGTGTAGTTGCACGCCTTTTCAGAATATCTGTTATTTGTTGTCAAGACTTGAATCTATGACCAACACTTCCCGTTTCGGAATGATGGGCCGGCAGCTTTTCGGCACGACGTCCGTGGCAGCGCCTCGTTCAAACCACTTTTGGCAGGAGGTCTCCAATTCTGCAGCAATGCTCCACGCGCACCCCCCCGTTCAAACCTCCTGCCGAGCGCCCGCGTTCAGCATCGATTAACTTTCGTTATTGGCTACAGCGGCCGCGCTTAGGAACCTGTAGTTTTAACCCAGGCTGGGCTTCTCAGTTCTTCTTGTAGGCTCTACACATGGCCGCTATATAGTTTTTTTTTGTAGGGGGCTTAACCGGAGTAGTACTCAAGTGTTGATGCGTTGTTGAGCATGGCACTTTGCCAAGTTTCTCAATCGCGGGCGCTTGTTCTGTATATCGTTGGGCAAAACCGTCGGTGCTACACTGCTGTGTGTGTCGGAAGACGGGAGACGACGGCCAGCCGCAGTGGGAGTGCAGCGCCGACCTTCCGGCCGATGGAGCCCTCGGCGCCGTGACGGTATCATGCGAAGGCTTCGACAGCCCCAGCGACCCCTACGTGCTAGTGGGGTCCTGCTCCCTCACCTACTCGCTCGACGCCGTTGGTCCGTGGTGAGTGGCAGCGGGGATTCGCGAGTCGGTTGCGCGTTCCTTCGACGCCGGTAGTTTTTTATTTGTGGGGCGGTGGGCATGCGGCAGAGTGTAGACTACGGGCGGCGACGATGGCTGCAGCTATTACAAACGCAGCAGCGGAACCGGCAAGAACACGGCGTTTGCCAGGAAAAGGGATTTTGAGCAAATACACTCGAAATTTTTTCGCTGAGGATGGAAGCCTGATTCCGCTAAGGCTGTGAATGTCTCGCTGCGTTCAGGTGTAGGGTTATCTGGGTGAAGGTGCCGTGCGGTGGCCGCGACTGTCCTTTAGCGCCATGTTCCACACAACTGCCAGGTGTACCCAGGCATAGCACTGGGCGGCGATGTGATGGCTGTGTTTGTAGAATAGCCTCTCCGTGCCCTTCGGGATTCCATTGGCCAATAATGTGGGCCCTTTTGATGTCGACGTGAGCAGGGTAGCGTGAACATGCTTGAATACCACAAGCCCCTTGTGTTTGTCAGTGTTAGGAAGAGCATCACCCCTTGACCTCCGGTTGCACCGCTCCTGCGTCTCTGCACCCCCCCGCCCCCCCCCCCCCCTCCGCCTACCCCTCTCTGTCTGGCTGTCTGTCTCTCTCTCTGGCTGTCTCTCTGTCTGTCTTTCTGTCTGTCTCTCTTGTCTCTCTTTCCCTCTCTCCCTCTGTCTGGCTGTCTGGCTGTCTCTCTCTCGGTCTGGCTGTCTCTCTATCTCTCTGTCTCTGTCTTATCTCTCTCTCTCTCTCTCTCCTCCTCTCGCTCCGGCTCGGGAAGGTTCGGCGGGGGCAAATCGTCGGGCCTGAACCTCGGCAACGTGGTCTTCTTCGTAATATTTGGGTCTTTTGCGATAAGGATCCTGCGGGCGTGGGGCAAGGTACGAGAAAACACGGGTCGGTGTGGACTGTTTGCGTACCCTGGGCATGGTCACTGCCCGCCCCCCCACTCCCCTCACCTCGCCTTGACCAACCCGCCCTGCTTTTCCGAGAAGCGTAAGAAGACACAGAGGAAAAATTACGCTTACATGTCAACAATAAAAAACACATCCGTGGACTTCGGAAGGGAAAACAAGCCGGCCTGGTTGTGCCAAGATTATGAATCCCGATCTCTGTACGGTTTTGGCGCTGCCTCGCCTTTTTTTGGCTGCGATGCGGTGGTGGTACCCTGCGTCATCTCCCGTCACCCGTAGCCCGCTCCCCAGTCGCCGTCTCCCATGTCTACCCCCGATAACAAACAACCCCTGGCGTTTCGTACTCCATCAACAGTACATTCATCTATCTGCAAAACTCAACTGAAGACGCTTTTCAACGTTCCTCTCTCCCTCGTATGTCACAGCCGTCTCGACCACCCCCGCCGGCCTACGCGGACCCCGCATCGCCGGACGGCGGCGACAGCAGCCAACCCCTGAACACTACATCCGATCCGGCCTTTCTCGTGACGGGAGAACCGGTTCTCGCGACAGCCGTACCGGTGGACGAGCTCAACCACGACGTCGAGAACAACAACGCCTCGTGTTCCCCCTCCGCGCCCCCGAAAGATCAACGGAAGAAAAAGACCGGCAGCGAGGCAGGTTGCGCCGCCCCCGCCGCCGCCGCCGCCGCCGCCGGCGGTGCGG